CGGCCCCGCACCCCCTTTCTCCTTTTCTGGATCGTTCAGACGCCAGTGCAGAAGGGGAGCCAGGGAGTCTCCTTCCAGTTTTTATTTTTTATTTTTATTTTTTTAAATCGAGCCCAATGGATGCCGAGGACGCGAGATGGACGGAGGGTCCGCGTGGGCATGAGAAGGGGAGGGGAGGGGGCGCGCCGGGGCTGCAGGCCCGGGTGCGCCTGGGCGACTCGGGCTTTTGATCCTTCGCTCTGGGATTGCAGTCTGCCCAGAGCTTTCTCCAAACGCAGACCCACCTGTCTGTGCCAACAGCTTCATTTGCCATCTCCACACTCTCTCCTGTCCCCCACCTCCCAGGCCTGGCTGCTTGCAAACCCCGTAAGCGGGAAGCCAGGATCGATCTTCCCCAGCTGCCTTCTGCTTTCTTCCGGGGAACGTGGAGATTTAAAGGGCCCTGGAAAGCAATCCATCCTCCTTAGGCTTATTTAATATTTCTCGGGCCCAGAAATAGACACCGCAGGGCTACCTCCTAGCAGGCGCTGCCAGTCTCCAAAATCAGTTTATTTCTTGGGCCTCCCAGACGTTCCCCTGGACCAACAGGCGGAGGACTTGGGGTCCCGGGCACCAACTGTCAGGAAAATCCAGAAGCCAGATAGGTCATGACATATAGGACCAGACGGGCCTCTGAATATATATATATTTTTAACTGGACCCTCAGTGTGGGAAGTACACACATCTTCTTCAGCTGAAATTTCATCCCTTAAACTGTCTTCCTATAGAATTCACCTCCCGCATCCAATAATCTTATGTCATGTTAAATTGCACTTATTTCTTTCATAAATAAATTAATATAGAACAATTAGACGTGTTATTATAATATCATGGATCTTATTAGTTTATTTTTCCTCATAAAATATATAGGTATGAAATAAATTCAATATATTAAAGTAATAATACACAGCTTATTGGCTTGTGTGTTTATTTTCCTCATAAATAAGTGAGGATACAATATATTAAAACCACACTATACGTTTTATTGGGCTATGTGTTTATTTCCCCACAAAATATGCCCAGAGGCAGTGTGTAACGTCTTGAAAATCACAGCACATAGCCATTTCCACACGAGCAAAATGAAACAGGCATTTCAGCTGGGGCTTTGATTTCTCTGTACCGCCAAACTGGATAATTTGGCCTAATTAAAAATGCTCTTTCAGCTATAACAGGTTGTTACCAAGATCAAGAACACCAGAAGGATCTTGCTAATTGCCCACCTTCCAGCTTTCTTTGGTCAAAAAGAGAGCACCTTTCATCAATGCCAAAAGAGCAGGATCTGCTCTGCTGGAGAGAATTCACGTCTTGGGATCGGGACTTGGTGTGCGATACTCAGGGCCTCTGAGGCTCTGGCTCTGTAGGAGCCTTGCTGCCCTGTGGCCCAGCGGCGTCAGCACTACCTGTGAGCTGGTTAGAAACGCAGAAACTTCGGTCCCACTCCGAAGAGAATCAAAAACTCAACTTAGCAGATCCCCAGGTAGTTTATATGCACATGAAAGTTTGAGAAGTGCAGCTAAGAGCAGTGGTTCTCAACCTTGGCTGCACATGTGTCCGTGTGTCCACGCCGCTCCAGCCCCGCGTGGGAGCTCCAGTGGCATAAGGAAGCTCACCCATGGGGGGCGTGGGCATGTCCTCGGGGGTGGCGCCAGCGTCCTGTGTGGCTATCAGGGCCCCAGTCAGTGCGCTTCGGGGAGTTCTTCCCCCGCCCAGCCTGGGCCCCTCGAGGCGGGTCCGAGGAGCAGGGGGCGGTGTTTGTGGGTGAGCGCTACCTTGCTCCCT